ACGCGATGAAATCAAGAGAACACTAAAAGTAATGTTTTTCAGGCCCCTGAAACTCCTATAAGGGGTCAAAAAGTGACCCCACGGACCCTAATTTTTAAAATGTATTCTTCGTGCTTAACTCAAATCCGAAAACTGTTTACAGATCTGTTGAGAAATAAAAAAAGTTACAGGGAAAAGCTGTTTTGTTGTACTGGCCCCTAAAAATCCCTTATTTTGTGGAATTTTGTTTTCATCACCTAATCACCTGAAGACAGTGTAAAAGTAAGTATTCCACTTAAATATGACAAGAATTGCTTGCTTCCTTTCTGAAATAATGGAACATGCGTGCTTTCAATTTAACATAGAAACTCTCATAGACAATTTTGGGGGACTCCTAAAACCGAAAGTTCTGCTTGGATTGACTTGAAACTGATAGTACATGTTCTATTAATCACTTTTAACAATATGTAGTCTTCAAAATATTTTTCCTATATGGTTTTGAAATTTTAAAATTTCCATCCCCCCTTTTTCTTAACTTTGGAGTCTTACAACACAAAAATGTATCATAGGTACAATAACGCTGTCGCTAACTTTTTTGTAGGATTTCCTTTGAAGAATCTATTCCTAAAATTTGAATGAATTTGCATATAAAATAAGAATTGTTTAAGCTCCTAAAGAAATCTGAGTTTTCTACTTGTAAATACCGGAAGTGAAGTTTCCGGAAGTACAAAACCTTACATACGGGAGAGATTCAGATAAGCTGTCTAACGGTTTTATTATAAAATACATATAACCAAAGGTTTTCTTTAAATCCGAAACGTAAAAGTGTTAGGTATAATAATAATAATAATAATAATAATAATAATAAAACAAGACGAAAACAATAGGGCTTTTCGCCAAAAGTCGAAAAGCCCTAATAAAAAAGACGAAAACAATAGGGCTTTTCGCCTGAAAGCGAAAAGCCCTAATAATAAAAAAGACGAAAACAATAGGGCTTTTCGCCTGAAAGCGAAAAGCCCTAATAATAAAAAAGACGAAAACAATAGGGCTTTTCGCCTGAAAGCGAAAAGCCCTAATAATAATAAAAAAGACGAAAACAATAGGGCTTTTCGCCTGAAAGCGAAAAGCCCTAATAATAAAAAAGACGAAAACAATAGGGCTTTTCGCCTGAAAGCGAAAAGCCCTAATAAACAGAACAATTTCAATAGGTCTTTCCACAGAAAGGTGGAAAGACCTAATAAATAAAACTCAAAAATTCGTCTTTTGCTATAGATTTATTGTCGGGCTCGTTTCTCTGTAGAGTTCAGAAGGTCTTGGCGCAGCTCCAAAAAAAGATCTTTTTTTTTTTTTTTTTTTTTTTTTTTTGCGATTTAGGGGCCAATTTTTCTCTCCTTCCCCTTCTCTCTTCCCTTTTCTCCTTCTCTTTTTTCTCTCTCTCTCTCCTTTTCTCTTTTTTGTTTCTGTGTTCGCTGACTATAGCCAATGTTTACATAGTTACCATGGAAGTACAATACATGACATGTGTTTTAGTGTGCATATCGTAGTTCTATTTTTATGCATTATGCATTCGAAGGGTTAATTTGAGGTGTTAAATGTTCTGATTTAGTTAAACTACTTAGAAAAGTTGCCGATGAAATAAATCGGACTCGAGGCTAATGGTATGTACTATGTAGGTCGTCATGGGAAAACATGGATTGGACTCAAAGCGGCCTGACTGCGGATCCTAAGATTGTTGCAGGTTCAGTATGAAGATTCCTGAATGAAACAAGCTTCCATGTGGGTTATGTTAAATGCAACTATGATAAATAAAATGTTCTACATGCATTTTAAGAAGAAAACAAGATAATGAAAGCATGTAATAGTTTATTTCATACATTTATATTGGTTTAACCCCCCCCCCCCTTCATATATTCTATATTTCTCATATTTTGGATGACCTTGACCTTTGACCTTAATATCAAGAACAAAAATGCAAGAATTCATTTCAGTTGGTCCCATGTCTCTACGTCTAAGCGTTAAATTTTTTTTCAAGTTTACGTAAACAGCAAAAAAACTTTAGGGGCAATAACTTGTATAAGGCTTCGATGAATGCTTTCGCAATGATAGATTGAAAAGCCCTCTCAATTAGTAAAAAGCATTGGTAAAGGTTCTGTATCTCTAAGGATTGTGGTTTCAGAGGAGTAGCGATAACAAGCTTTTCTTGCGAAAGGGGCAATAACTTCATTAAATGTCATCGCTCGAAGTCGTTGGGTCAAATCTGAAAATCATTTAAGTAGTCGACTAATATGAAAGATGCGTCTCTTCGTTAAGTTGCGAAACAAAAAATCAGCGGAAGAAAAATAATAATAAGAATAATAAGAATAATAAGAATAAACAGAAGAAAATCAATAGGACTTTCCACAGAAAGGTGGAAAGCCCTAATAATATGTGTCGAAAGATGAAAGAGACATTAAAAGTTCATGTTTTTAATGACCTTGACCTTTGACCTTGACTTAAATTTCAAGGTCAAAGTTTCTAAAGTAGTCGAAGACACTGATGAAGGTTTGGAATCTCTACGGTTTACGGTTTCGGAGGAGTAGCGATAACAAGGTTTTGTTGCAAAAGAGGTGACAACTGTTGAATGCATCAAACTCGGGGGACAAGAATGAAATCTTTGAAATATTTTTAGAGGGACATATTACAGATGCAAAGATATTCAGTATATGTTGAAAGACAAAAGAGATATTAAAAAAGCTAATTTTCTCATATTTTGAATGACTTTGACCTTTGACCTTCACAAAAATTTCAAGGTCAGAGGTCACAAAATCTAACGCAGTTGGTCCCATGTCTTTACGACTTATCGTTTAGAGAATTTTGTCATTATTCGTAAACATCAAAAACTCTCAGGGGCAGTAATTTATTAAAGGGCTCGACAAATCGTTTCGCAATGAAAAGATTGAAAAGTCCTCTCGAGTAGTCGAAAACATTGGTGAAGGTTCTGTATCTCTATGGTTTCGAAGGAGTAGCGATAACAGGCTATTCTTGCGAAAGGGGCAATAACTTCGTAAGAGGTCATGGGTCAAACACGGGGGGTCGTTTTTCGAAATAACTTTTAATGTCCAGTATCATGAACTATAAAGTTTTTCGATATGTCTTGCAGTTTCAAAAGTCCGGGAAGAAAAAGAAGAATAATAATAATAATAATAATAAACATAAGCATTTCAAGAGGTCTTTCCATAGAAAGGTGGAAAGACCTAATAATAATAATAAACAGAAGCATTTCAAGAGGTCTTTCCACAGAAAGATGGAAAGACCTAATAATAACTAGTAGACTAATTATTCTCGAACAATTAGAGGTCTTTCCACCTTCTTTAAATCTCTTACATTTTTCATATTTAACTCTCTACTGTTTATTTTTATACAAAAGAAACCAGAAATGGTTTGAAAGATGGAAAAAATAAAAATTTCAAAATTTTTGAAATGACCTTGACCTTTGACCTTGAATAAATATTCAAGGTCAAAGGTCAAGAGTCACAATGCAGTTGGTTTCATGACTCTACGACTTTTAGTTTTAAAGTTATAATGTTTAAAAATAAGCGCAAAGATGCAAAAGGGCAATAACTCATATTAGGGGTTATCAGATCCTTTCGCACTGAATAGATTGAAGTTGTATCTAAAGACCCTGAAGACATTAGTGAAGGTTTGGTGTCTCTGTGGTTTATGGTTTCTGAGAAGTAGTGATAATAAGGTTTTTAGTGAAAGGGGCAATACCTTTTGAAAGGGTAAATCTTAGGGGTCAAGCATGAAATCTTTGAAATAGTTTTAAAGAGGGCATATTGATGATGCAAAGATATATAGTGTATGTTGAAAGACAAAAGAGATATAAAAAGAGCTTAATTCCTCATATTTTGAATGACCTTGACCTCTGACCTTGACATAAATTTTAAGATGTAAGGTCAAAGAATCTAATCCAGTTGGTCTCATGTCTCTATGACTTATTGTTTTGAAAATTTTAAATTTTTTGTAAAAATCAAAAACTTTGAGGGCAATAACTCATTGAAGGGGTCGACGAATACTTTCGCAATGAATAGATTGAAGAGTCTGCTAAATTAGTTGAAGACATTGGTGAAGGTTTCGTATCTCTACGGTTTATGGTTTCAAAGGAGTAGCGATAAGCTTTTATTGCGAAAGGGATGTAACTCCTCGAGGGGTCAAAGTTCATATACGCAGGGTCAACTGCAAAAATCTTTTAAGGAGTACATTCTCATGAACTATAAATCTTTTCAATAAATCTTGAAACTCAAAATCTTGCGGCAGAAAAATAAGAAGAAGAATAGTAAGAAACAGAAGAAAACTAATAGGATTTTCCACAGAAAGTTGGAAGGACGTAATAATAAGAAACAGAAGAAAATCAATAGGTCTTTCTACAGAAAGGTGGAAAGACCTAATAATAATAAACAGAAGAATATCAATAAGTCTTTCCACAGAAAGATGGAAAGACCTGATAAGAAACAGAAGAATATCAATAGGTCTTTACACAGAAAGGTGGAAAGACATAATAATAATAAACAGAAGAATATCAATAGGTCTTTCCACAGAAAACTGGAAAGACCTAATAAGAAACAGAAGAATATCAATAGGTCTTTCAGAGAAAGATGGAAAGACCTAATAAGAAATAGAAGAAAAGCAAGAGGTCTTTTTACAGAAAGGTGGAGAGACCTAATAACAAACATAAGCATTTCAAGAGGTCTTTCCACAGAAAGATGGAAAGACCTAATAATAATAAACATAAGCATTTCAAGAGGTCCTTCCACAGAAAAGTGGAAAGACTTCATAATAATAATAATAAACATAAGCATTTCAAGAGGTCTTTCCACAGAAAGGTGGAAAGACATAATAATAAGAAACAGAAGAAAAACAAAAAGGTCTTTCCACAGAAAGGTGGAGGGACCTAATTACAAAATGAAGATATTAGATATTGCCCAAAATCAGCTTTTTTTTCTAAACTGTAAGTTTCATTTAGTTTCATTTTATTTAAACAGATGGATTGAAGGATAATATCCTATATGAATCTGCTGGACCAAGAGAAGAAGGTGTCTCTGGAGTATCTGTAGCACCAGTATATGCTGAAGTAAGGAAAAAAGAGCAAGAACAGAATGATACCAATGCAAATTTCTATGCCAAAGTAGATAAAGAGGCAACATCACAACAAAGACAAGGTATGTTTCTTGACCTTTGACATATCGATTAAGATTCCAGGAATCGAATTTTTGAGTTGATATAAGCAAACAAGTCGAATGAGATTTTATGCGCATTCATGAATAAAGCAGGTTTGTCAGGACCGTCTTTCTTCCATTTATTCTGCCATCTGTCCTTAAGTGACACTTTTTGTTTTTTTTACCTTGACCTTTTCTTTGACCTTGACGTCATTTTTTTTCTTAAATTTGTGATTTGTTCAGTTTTAATGAAACTATTTAAGATATTTTTATTAAACATAATATACTGATACATAGTAGTGAAAGCTCTCAACTGAGTTTGACTTTCCCTTTTTCGCTATCACAGTTTTCTTGAATTTGCATTTAGCTCATTTTCAAAGAATCAAATGAGGATATAATTATCAACCTTTATAAACGCATATATTTTGGTGAGTGCTATTGTACTACATCAAAACTTTATTGACTTTGATATTTTTGTAGACATTGACCTTGTAAATTTCATTTTCAATGAACCTTACAAAATACTAGTACATTGATAATTTTTCTACATAGTGTATTTTTAGGCCCTCATTCTAGGGGAGGGGAGAGAATTTAAAAAAATACAAAAAAATTTGGTCGCATGTTTTCAAAATCTTTTCAAGAACCACTGGTCCAAAAAGTTGAAACTTAAAGGAAATTTTCTTTACAAAATGTAAAGTCAAGTTTGTTCAAATGATGACCCCGGGGCTAGGGGAGGGCCACCATGGGTGATCAAAGTTTTACATGAGAATTTATAGGAAAACATCTTTGAAAATCTTCTCAAGAACAGCAAAGTTATGTTAAGTCATATTGATATGGAAGCATCTTCAGGTTGTGTGGATTCATAATGGTTAAAATGATGACCCCCAAGGTAGGGTGGGGCCACAACGGTGGATCAAAGTTTTTCAGAGAAATATGAAGGGAAAATCTTTAAAAAAAATCTTCTTTTCGAGAACAGCAAAGCCATGTTAAGTCATATTGATATAGAAGCATCCTCAGGTAGTATAGATTTAAGTTTGATCAAATGATGACCCCTTGGAGTAGGGATGGGCCACAAGGGGAGATCAAAGTTTTACAAAGAAATATAAAGGGAAAAAAATTGAAAAATCTACTTCTCAAAAACAGCAAAACCATTGTTTTGTCATATGGATATGGACGCATCCTCAGGAAGTGTATATTCAGGTTTGTGATGACCCCCGGGGGTAGGGTGGGGCCACAATGTGTGATCAAAGTTTTGCTTAGAAATATATAGAAAAAAATCTTGAAATATCTACCTATCAAGGACAGCAAAGCAATGTTTAGTCATATTGATATGGAAGCATTTTCTAGTAGTGTAGAATCAGGATAGTTCAAATGATGACCCCATTTGCTCGGGTGAGTGAATTCTCATGGGCCTCTTGTTAGAATATGCCTCATATCTCAAGAACCCATTGTCCAATTTTTGCCAAATTTGTCATGTTGTACCCTTGGCCCAATAATGAAGTCCACAAGATGCATCAACTTACAAGGTTTGGTGATTCTAAACCTCTCGGTATCTGTAATAATGACCGTAAATGTCTTGAAAATGATTAGCCATAAAATTCCAAAAGTAGGTCAAAAGGGTAGATTATCACCAAACTTACAGACAAGGATGAGGATATGTTGTAGATTAAGCATTGTTCAAGGGATCACCCTTGGGCAAAGAACGTGGTCTTAGGGTTACTTCAAAGTTGATCAAAAATTGTGTTTTGTTAAAAGTTTGATATTTTGCTTTCTGTAAGGAATAGGATTATCAAATCTTGTCAGTTGATGCATCTTAGGACCTCATATCAGAACAACCCTGAACTCATAGGTCACAGTGACCTACTTTTTGAATTGTGCAGATATTCATTTTCATATTGATTTAGAAGCATATAATCATCAAACTTTATCAGTTGATGCATCTTGGGTCTCAGAGTAGGTCAACTGAAAAGTAGGTCACTGTGACCTAAGTTTTTACAAAGAAAAGTTACCGATTTAGTTTTAGCTGATATTTCATGAAATATTTTTTAGAAGAGTGAATTTTGATTAAAGAATGTTAATTTATTTTAGATGTTGCCAAAAAAGGAAAGGATAAGGAACAGAAAACGAAAGGGAAAAAAGGTAAGACAGTTTTTTTTTCCGTCCAACTATTGTACGCCACTAAATAAACTAGTCCTTGTTTGTGATACGTGAGCAAAAAATTTAGCTCCTTATTGATCTCTCAAGAAAGGACAAGATAGGCTAATACCTCTTTTAGCCGCTTATTTAGACTATTTCTAGGAACGGTGCAATAGTCCTGTAAACATCTTTTTTTACGAAATGAGTATTGGTTCAATGAGATGTGATACACAGAAGTCACAATGGCTCACAAGTTAATTTCCGATTTTTCTCATTTTCATTTAAATGTTTGTTAATTAGTACATGTATTAAAGCAATATTGTTTCAGGAAATATGGAGAGCTAAAGCTTGCTTATCTACCAAACTTATATATTTCGTGCACCAGTATCAGATACATCTTGTGTATGAAAACCTCAGATAGGCAAATCGATAGGAAAATCAATAACATGGTCTACTTTGTGACTGCTGTGTATATTTTGATTCAAAATCAATTTTGGTTTTAAAACAAAAATCATTTCATGATTTTAGATGCAAGCTATGACATCTTTAACTGTGTGTTGATGTTTTATTTCAAATTTAAAATGTGGGATCAAATTGCACCGTTGCATACCTTGTCCTGTGCAAAAATGAAATATGTTTCATAATGATGGGCAAAGAAGTTTTTGCCTTGAAAAATAATCACTCCTTGCTTTATAATTTAGGAGAAAAGGACCCATTCCTTCCAAATAAGACAAGAAAACTTACGTTTTAAAATTGTGTTGTAATACAGTATATACAGTTATCTATTGTAAAAAGCTTAAATGGTGTCCTACTAAATATTACAAAATATTTTAATGAAACAAACTGTACAACTGATTCTTCCTGCAGTTACTCATGCAGTTGACTATTGTGGCGAATTGGCCTTTTCTTAACTTGATCTCCTGAATCACTAAACTTATTACAACCAAACTTGGTACAGAGCACTTGTATCCTTTGGTAAAAAAAATCAGGTTTGTTCAAATGAAGGGCCATGCTACTTCCAAGAGGGAAGATAATGGGGGAAAAAGCAAAAATAGAGTGGGGTCATTTAAAAGTTTTCTCAAGAGCCAGGGATTCAGAAGAAATTAGAACTTGAATTAGGGGATCAAAGTTTTATCTAAGAATAAACAGGCTAAAATAAAATATTTAAAAAAAACATATTGGTATTCATATAGCAAGCATCCTTATTTGTGCAATTCAAATTCGTTCAAATCATGGCACTTTGAGTGGGACAGAATTTAAGTACCAATATGCAGGTTTTACATGGTAATATACAGCCTGTGTCTTTGTTTCTTTTCTTTATGTCCCTTTGAGAATTTTTCACTCATATTTTGAGGCCAACGATTTTGGGTGGAAGGCTGCGGATGTAGACCTTTTCAAGACACTTGTGGCCTGGATAAGTGAGGGATCGTTTTCTTGCCAACAGCGAAGCCATGACAAGTCGTATTGATATGCAAGCAATTTCTCAAGTACTTGAAGTGCGAATTCAAGTTTATATAAATCATGTACCTTGTCAGTAGGGTTTGGCCACAAAAAGAGATCAACATTGTAAATGAATATTTCTAGTACTTTATTACTCAATTGTGGCCCCAATTATAGCCCATTGGGTGTGACAATTCGAACAACTAGAATCTACACTTTATCAGGCTACATGCATATCAATATTACTTTGTATGAAGCTAAGGCCTTGTATATCTCATGATTTCAAAATACTTTTAAATAGAAATTAAGGAAAATCTTTTTGACGCTAAAAAAATTCTACATTTGAAAATTGCTAATTTTTTAGGAAAAAAAGACAAGCCAAAAAAAGTGCAAAATATGGATGGTGAGTAATTAAATGCTTGTAAGTAGATGATAAAAACTCCTTTAAATTCTATCCTCTGTCTCTTGCTTATGTGTGTGCTGTAAACAGTGGAAGTGGATTCAAAGGATTGTAAATGTAGTTGGACTAGAATTTTAAAGGGCTCTTATAGGATTCCCTCAGTCTGTCCATTTATAATATTGAGACGTGACAAGTCAAACAGTTTTCAACGGAATGTTTTAAACGATAACCTCGTTATAAAGGCTTAGAGACCTATATTGGCTGTCGGGGATTGTTTTGAATGAGATTTAATTACATAGAATTTATTATTTGCTTTCTCCTTAATGTCTTTTATATAAAATATAAAAATGCATTAAGGAACGATAATTGAAGGAAAATACGCAAATTTCTATAAACAAAATTAGAATAGTGTTTGAAAGCAAGAATTAAAATTGTAAAAGTGTGGTACCAGATGTATTCAAACCTATATATAAGATAAGATAAGATTTATTGATCCCAATTTGGGGCCCCTCAGGGCATACAAGTAAAGAATTATATACACAAGAAGAAATTTCAAATTGATAGTAGCAACATGTCAGCGGCTTCAAGATCCAGCGGTATAATCTGAGCTATTCTGACTTTATAATTAGATACACGTGCACGTGGTATAGATACTGTTCGAACCAGACCATCATAAACAGGTTTCCTTATTCTTTTTGTAGGTTTTCTTGTAATTTTCGATCCCAGGGCAGGGGTGCCCCTAAAATTATTTTTTAAGGAGAAAATATTGTCTTAGCAAACTTTAAAGGTTAATTTTAAAATTGAAAATAATCAATTTTGGTTTTAAAATACAAACTTGAAAAATTAAGACATATATAGTAAATAACTAATGAACATTGATTTTTATTTGTGACTTTTTTTGTAAAACTATTTTTTCCTGTAGTCAATCTTTTCTAACTTCTGAATCCTTTCGTAGATAAATCCTTAAATGTAAAAGCAAGAAACCTAGATATTTGGGTCATATCACTGTCTATCTGTCTTTTCAAATGTTTCAATGTATATCTATAACACTTCAGTTGTTACACGTTATTCAACAGTTTTCAACAAATCGTTCTCAAATTTTGAAGATAGATATTTTACTATAAGAGCAAGACATCTATACATTTTAGCTCTTCTGAGCCGAAGGCTCAAAGAGCTAATGCTATGGCCATTTGTGCGGTATGTTAACTTTTTGGAAAATGGGCCATAACTCAAGACCCCTTGACCAATTTTTGTCAATTTTTTACAGAGTATCCTTGGCCCAAGGGCTCTCATTTGTACACAAAACAGGGATGGGACCTTTAAACAAGGGGATATAATGAGGAAAATAAAAACAAAAGTACTGGTTGCTAAAAAAAATCTTCTTCTCAAGAACCACTGGGCAAATTATCACCAAACTTACATACAAGGAGGATGAGGATATATTGTAGATTGAAATTTGTTCAAGGCAACACCCTGGGGCAAAGGGCGTGGTATCAAAGTCACTTCAAAGTTGACCAAAAAATTTAATCTTTGATATTTTGCCCACTATAAGACCATCAAATCTTGTTAGTTGATGCATCTCTGGACCTCATATCATGATGACTCAAAAGTTAGTCACGATAACCTACTTCTTGAATTTGCAGGTATTCATTTTCACTTTAATTTTGATGCATAACTTGGATATTTTGAAGTCTATGATCATTAAAACTTGTCAGTTTATGCATCATGGGACCTTGAAGTGTGTCAATCAAAACGTAGGTCACCGCGACCTACTTTCTGAGTTTTATCGCTAATAATTTTTCTAAACATTAAAGGTCATTATTTCAGATACTAGGAGGTTTAGAATCATTAAACCTTGTACATTGTAAGTTGATGCACCTAGGGGCCTTAAAAAAGATTTATTAAAATAGGTCACAGTGACGTACTTTAGGAATTTGATGGCTTTTTCAGTTACTAATTGATTTATAATCATCAAACTTTGTCAGTTGATGCATGTTGAGACTTCAGAGTGTATCAACCAAAAAGTAAGTCACTGACCTACTTTTGCAATTTTATGGCTAAATTTGAATATATCAGATACTAATTGGCTTTGAATTATCAAACTTTGTCATTGATGCATCTTGGGTACTCGGAATGTGTCAACCAAAAAGTAAGTCACTGTGACCTACTTTTGGAATTTGATGGCTATTTCAGATAATAATTGGCTTAGAATCATCAGACATACTTATTGGCTTAGATTCATCAAACTTTGTCAGTTTATGCATCTTGGGTCTCCAGAGTGTATCAACCAATACGTAGGTCAATGTGACCTCCTTTTGCAGTGGCTTAATTTGAATATACCAGATACTAATTGGCTTGGAATTAACAAACTTTGTCAGTTGATGCATCTTGGGTAACCGGAGTATGTCAACCAAAAAGTAGGTCACCGTGACCTACTTTAGGAATTTGATGGCTATTTCAGACGGTCATTGGCTTAGAATCATCAAAATATGTCAGTTGATGCATCTTGAGTCCTCAAAGTGTGTCAACCGAAAGGTAGGTCACTGTGACCTTTTTTTTTCAATTTCATGGCTTTATTTGAATATTTCAGGTACTAATTGGCTTGGAATTATCAAACTTTTTCAGTTGATGTATCTTGGGTCCCGGAGTGTGTCAACCAAAAGGTAGGTCAGCGTGACTTACTTTAGGAATTTGATGGCTATTTCAGAAACTTATTGGCTTAGGATTATCAAATTTTGTCAGTTGATGCACCTTGAGTCCAAAAAGTAAGTCACTGTGACCTATTTCTGCAACTTCATGGCTAAATTCAAATATTTCAGAAACTGATTGCCTTGGAATTATCAAACTTTGTCAGTTGTTGCCATGAAGACCTACTTTTGGAATTCCAAGGCTTTGTCTCTTATATATAGGTTACCAAGAGGCTTAAAACATATGAGATTATAGGTTGTACAATTTTAAGAAGAGCGATTCTAGTCCCTTGGGCCTCTTGTAAGGTCATAACATGTCTGTACGTCTTATGTTTGAAAATATACAGTCATGTATCCATGACATTTTTGTTTTGACATAATTACTCCAACAATTTCAGTAAAACATTTTCAAAATCTACACATACACTAGACAATATTGCTAACGCACTACTTGATATTCTCGTTTTTTAATTAAACATTTGCCTTATCGGCACTAGAATATCAAATGTGCCATCTTTCACACTACATTGAAGTGGTCTCTTAATGACTTTCATGTCCGAAAACCATTCTCCGATCGTGCACTGCGCACCGCTTCTGCCCAGAAATGAAATTGGTGATTACCGGTGGTGATCAGGGAGGTTGCAACAGAAGCAATCTCTCAGTTAAATATCAAATGATACACAGCGATTATGTATCATATCGGCTAGAAGTCACCCACTGCCTTTGCATGTATAGTATGTATACCTAGTCCACCATCTTCCGTTGCTCCAGTTTTGTAAAACAATAAAATTGTATTTGTCGTGTGGTGACTACTTTATGTAGCAGAGATATAAATGAAACATTTTTATATTTGTTAATCTATTTGCAGAAAATATTTTGCTAGAAAAAAAAAATCTTTCGATTGTTTCAATTTTTTAACAAATTCCTTCAAAGGAACGCCCTGAAGACACCATGCGGAGTGCTTCATCACGCTCGTGTAGGGTGAAACGTCGCGTATTCTGTAAAATTTTTCTGAGATTTTAATTAGTAAAAACATAAAGAACACAAACACAAATAAAAAATAGGAATTTTTTCCACATAAATGTGTTAGCAAGATATTAATTTTTTTTATGGAATGGTTACGTTTCAGTTAACATTGTAGCTATTTATGAGTTAAGACATTTAAATGCAGGTCTATTTTTTTTTTCTTTTTTACAATGGTAACATATTTATATATCGGCTACATCATAAACAGTTTTGAAAAATGAAATTTTTATTTCTTAGGTGGTGCCTTAGCAATTTTTTCGTGGTATGTGCTTCACTATAAGAGCAAGTCACCTATAGATTTTATTCTCTTATATTATTTTGTCTGTCACTACATACATGCATATTTGAACGTATATCGATGACACTTTTGCTGTGATGTGATTTCTCACTCCATTTTCAAGAGAACGTTTTCAAATTTTGTACTCCATAACTTTACTAAAAGAGGAAGTCACCTTTAGATCTTAGGGTGATATCACTTTGTCTGTCTGTCTATACATATGATTGAATGTAATTCCACTGTGAAACAATAATTCAATTCAATTTTCATCGTAACAATATTCCAATTTTATGCAGAAAGAGTTTGGCCATTAGAACAAGACACCTTTTAATTTTTAGGCTCGTATGCCTGTCCGTCTTCCCATCAATAATTACCCAACGGTTTTTCAACCTAATGTTTTCAATGTATGCTGAAATACTCTACGATAAGAGAAAAGACACTGATAAATTTTGGGGTAATATCGCTGTCTGTTTGACGGTCTTCTTGTAAGTCTACCATGACACAATAAATGAAAAGTTTTTCATTTTAAGAATTTGAAATTTTATCAATGAGTTAATTGAAAAAATTATAGACTTGTTTATATTTTATGACCATCCCAGATAGCAAGACATTGTTGGGCCAACGTTGGCCCAATTTTTTTTCCAACGTTGGCCCATTGTTGGTAGTCCTACGTTGGCCCACGGTCATTTTGCTCATCGGCCCAACGTTGGTCCAACATGATGGCATATTGTTGGGCCAACGTAGGTATAATTGTAAGCCAACTAACAGCCAACATAGAAACAACATTTGCAATCGATTAGTTAGGTTGGCCCAACGTTGACCCTTCATTGAATGATTGGTCCGATATTTACGGTTTATTGGCCTTATTGGCCAACTAACAGCCAACCTTAACAACTGGTTGGTTAGGTTGGCCCAATGTTGGGCCTTTGTTGAAATGTCAGATGGCATATTGTTGGGCCAACGTAGTTATTATAGTAAGCCAACTAACAGCCAACATAGAAACAACATTTGCA